ACGTTATAAGATTGGCCTTATGTTTCCCATTCTATTCTAGCAGCTGCGTGGCTCAGAGCAGTGAAGCAAAGTAATGCTTCCTCTCATTATGAGAAGAATAGAGGACTTTAAGTTGTCAAGAGCAATGATTTTGAAGGAAAAATAAAGAAACATCGTGATTTTTGTCTATATATAAGAAACTCTCACCGGGAAAATATATATGTCAGGAACTGGACAAATATTTTGAAATATTTTACTGAGCCAGCGGAAAATATGAAACTTATTCCCCAGATAAGATGTAATATACATTCTTCTCTTATTTCACAGAAATGTCTATGTGACAAAAGATGTGAAGTATTATTGTCTAGGTATTAGTGTTAATCTGCTATTCTTCCAGTGAATGGGCTATATCCCTCAAAGGAATTACCTAAATGCTTTCTGCTTTAAAGTTTTTTCATCCTAGAAAATTTATTTTCTAGGTATATTGCAATAAGTACTGTGCAAGTGTAATAATGATAGTGTTCCAATTGTAATTGCTGTTATATTACCCCAAAACTTAATAACATAAAATAAAACCACTTTATTATATCTCACGGATTGTGTGGAACAGGAATTTGGACAGGACAGGGCTGGGTGATATTTTTGCTCTTGGCTCTGTTGAATGCAGTCACTTATTGGTGCTTCGCTGGTGGACAGATTGGTTTGGAGAGTCCAGGACAACTCCATTCACATTTCCGCTGATGAAAGACTGAGCTCAGTTGGGCTTGTCAACCAATGTTCCTAAACAGATCTCTCCATTATGGTAGTCTCAGGGTACTTGGATTTCTTACAGGGCAGTTGGATTTCCCCAGAGTGACCATTCTAAGACAACCAGTCAAAGCTGCATCACTTCCATCACATTGTCTTGGACACAAGTGAGTCACCATCCAGCCCAGGTTTCAAGGGGAGGAGAATTAGCCTCCACATGTTGATGAGGAGCAGCCAGTTCATATTGTGGAAGAGTTTATAGCATGACAGAGAATGTTATAGTCATTTTTAGAACATACACTCTGGAAAATACATTTTGGAAATTTATTTACTGCCCAAGGTCACTTGAGTACTAAGTGGCAGATCTGGCACTTTAACCTAAGTCCACAGTGACTCCAAAGCCTTTTCTAAGAATTTTATAATGGATCTGAGAGATAGAGGCAGAGAGAGAGAAAGAGAGAAACAGAGACAGGGACAGAGAAAATACTATGTGTTGAAAGCTCATTTTAGATTACAGATTGGATTTTTAAAATATCAAATAGTTTCCATTTGCTTCTTATTTAAAGATATTTATCCTATCAATGTATCATTTGAATCAAAGGTCCATTAAGGTGGGAGATTTATTCTTCACTTTTACCTCTTATTCTTTTTTATAGCATGGCGCCCGACATAAAGTAAATGATCCAAAAAGATTTGTTGAATGAATGAATACATGAATAAGTTATTGATGTATACAAATGCTGGCAAAGGGAAGATCATTTGTACTTGAAAAAAAAGGCACAGTCTTAAATACTTTCTAAAAACTATAACCATTTTATTCTTCGTTTGAACTACCTATTGAAGCCTATTATCTATGAGATTATTTTTCCTGTGTTCGAGTTTTCAAGGGCTTAAAGGTATATATTCCTTTCCTCCTTCTTAACACTAACTTCACGTTAAAAATTATTTGGTTAGAAAGATTAAAAAATAGTTTTTGCATAACATTGTTTTGGTTTTCATGTATAACATTCAATTAAATAAAATGCCTATAGTAGATTATAATACTGCAATTAAAAGTATAAGCAAGTATGCAAATAATTTAAACTTAAACTTGAGAAATTGCATGATTTTCACCTTGACTTGCTCTTTAAGATGTTGCAACATTTTAAGGTGTATTTAATTAAAATGTATATAGATATACTCCATATACAGAAATGTGTTTATACAACTGCTATAAACTTTCTAAAAGCAACAATTCATTTTATTCCATACTCTTTTAAATTTTCCCTCTCCTAAAATGGAGGAAATTAATGAGTAGTATTTGTTTCTAAATTCCATCAGAATATCCCAAGGCAGTAGTGAGAGTTTTTACACTGCTTAGGAACCAAGCATTTGGCATAATCTGTTTGCTCAGAGGAAATGTTTCTATATGAGAAAACACAATGTTGCCATGGTGACACATCAAAAAAATCGTTTACAAAATGCAGGATGACATAAAACCTATTCTCTTCTGATTTTAAAATAGTTCAGATTTTTAAAATATATGCAGATATTTTATTTTTGAAAAGTCTTTATAGAGAAACAGATTAATAAATAAAAATCAATATTTGAATTGATTACATTTCAAACTTAAGAAAAGAACACTCATTAAATCTCAAGTCGGTCTCTTATTTCCTTTTATGACATTCGTCAACATTGGAAAATATCTAGTATTATGCAGGTAGTGTGAAGGGATCATCTTCTCCTGGTCCATGGAGAAATATCAGAGAATACATAAATAAAGTATAAAATCCATTCAATCCAGATGTTGGTGGGTTTGTTTCAATGTTTGCTTTATCTAAAATTAGCATTATTTAGTTGACTACATTATTTTCCTAAGCACTTAGTTGGTGGGGTGAAAGGGAACTATTCAATGGGGGAATAAGTGGGCAGAAAATGGCATTTGTTACCTATCAGAACTGGAATTTGATTGTTGTAACATTTTTGAACATAGGACTTACCTAGGTAGAAAAGAGAGAGAGAGAGGAAAAAATGAGGCAGTATATTCAAAAGCAAAAGTTGTCCTCCACTTTGATTTTTCTGCTGGTGGAGTGAACCAGTCTATAATAAAAAACAGTGTGTTAGCCTCTAGGACCTGGACACCCCATTCGGTTCTTCTGTATGAGTTTTCATAGTCTCAAACCCTCATGTATCAGACCAGCTCTCACAAGTTCTGCCGTCTTGTCTGGCTTTCAGACAAGCCTATCCTAACTGCCTATCTCTAGGAGGGTAAGGCATGCTCATAGCCAAAGCCGTTATCCCCTAGATCTCACCAGAAGTCAGTACATGGTTGGATGCCTACTCCTCAGGTCTCACTGATTTTCTCTATCTCTTCTGGTGCAAAGCAATTCCCTATGCAATCACCAGGCCTTACATACCTCTCTCCCGGGGTCCCAAAAGCAAACATACATCACCTTCTCTTTTCCAAAATGATGGAAAAGTAAGCTGGAGATTGGCACATTTTTTTTCCTTTAAATTGAATCTTTCCAAAAAGAATCTATTAAAAAAAAGAGTCCCTCAACCTCTTTAAATCTGTCCTTATTTTCTCTACTAAATTGACTATTTTTACTTATATACGGTAACTCTGGATGAATAATGTCTCAAAGATATAAAGAAATAATTACGAGCCCTTTGTTCATACTGAAAATATTTCCTCCTAAAAATTATTGAAAAGCACACTTCCTGTAAAACACAAGAATAACAATTTTAATGCTTCATTCCTTATGACAAATGAATCAGTTGATGTTGCTGCTGCCAGTTCCCTATAAAATGGCATTTGAAATAGCAATAGCCATTCTGATGGGAGTGAGGTGATATCTAATTGTAGTTTTGATTTGCATTTCCCTGATAGTTAATGATGTTGAACATCTTTTTATATGCCTGTTGACCATCTGTATATCTTCTTTGGAGAAATCTCTGTTCAGAACTTTTGCCCATTTTTTTAATTGGGTTGTTGGTTTTTTTGTTATTGAGATGTACGAGTTCTTTGTATATTTTGGATATTAACCCCTTATCTGATATATGGTTTACAAATATCTTCTCCCAATTGTTAGGTTGTCTTTTCACTTTGTTGATGGCTTCCTTAGCTGTGCAGAAGCTTTTTAGTTTGATGTAGTCCCATTTGTTCATTTTTTTCTTTTGTTTCCCTTGCCCAGTTAGACATGGTACTTGAAAATATGCTGCTAAGACTGATGTCAAAGAGAGTACTGCTTATGTTTTCTTCTAGAAGTTTCATGGTTTCGGGTCTTACATTCAAGTCTTTAATCCATTTTGAGTTGATTTTTGTGCATGGTGTAAGGGAATGGTCTACTTTCATTCTTTGGCATGTGGCTGTCCAGTTTTCCCAACACCATTTATTGAAGAGACTCTCCTTTCTCCATTGTATGCTCTTGGCTCCCTTGTCGAATATTAGCTGTCCATAAATAATTAACAAGACAGGAAACAATAAGTGTTGGAGAGGATGTGGAGACAAGGGAACCCTCGTACACTGCTTGTAGGAGTGCAAAGTGGTGCAGCCACTATGGAAAGCAGTGTGGAGTATCCTCAGAAAATTAAGAATAGATCTACCATATGATCCAGCTATTCCACTGCTGGGTATTTATCCAAAGAACTTGAAAACACAAATGCATAAAGATACACCTATATTCATTGCAACATTATTCACAATAGCCAAGATTTGGAAGCAGTCTAGCTGCCCATCAAGGGACTAACGGATAAAAAAGATGTGGTATATGTACCTAATGGAATACTACTCAGCCATAAGAAATGATGAAATCTGACCATTTGTGACAACATGGATGGACCTTGAGGGTATTATGCTAAGTGAAATAAGTCAGAGGGAGAAAGTCAAATACCATATGATCTCACTCATAAGTAGAAGATAAAAATAACAACAAACAAACACATAGAAACAGAAATTGGACTGGTGGTTACCATAGGGGAAGGGGGGAGAGGGGGGCAAAAGAGGTGATTAGGCTCATGTGTGTGGTGATAGACTATAATTAGTTTTTGGGTGGTGAACATGATGTAATCTACACAGAATTTGAACTATGTTACGATGTACATCTGAGAACTATATAATGTTATGATCCAATGTTACTGCAATTAAAAAAAAGAAAAAAGAAAAAAAAGAAATAGCAATATATTAGGATGAACATCTTCCTTCCAGAAGGAGAGGAGAAATTAAGGAAATTATCTCCAACAATAGTTGACTCAAATTTTTATCTGTATCTTCAATGCTTCAATGGAAATCATGTGCTTATAAGTGCTATTCCTCTGCTTGAAAGCTGGGACTCTGTCTTACATTCATGTCCACAGTAATAGCAGAATGACTTTCATATAGAAGGTGCCAAATATATGTTCATTTAATGAATAATGTTACTAAGTCACAGCAGTTGGTGTTGATAAATGGACCTGGAGACATCTTGATCCCAAATTGAATGTGGGGTATAATGAGCTCAGGCAGAAAATGTCTTAGGGTGAACTTATTCTGCTATGTGAGAGTCTTCCAAAAGACCATAGACCAGAAAGAATATTCAATAATTTCATTCTAATTTAATTAACAATATAGAAAGGATACTCCAGTTATGGACAGATTTCATTAGGTGGTAATTTGAATGAGTGCAGCAGATATTATTGGTGTCCTATCCATAGCCATCAGTACTCACTTTTCCCTAACTTTCTAGGGCCTCCTACTGCAAGCACCTGCAAGTTGGCTTGAGAGCTTCCTCTGGCCATGACAGCCTGTGTCACCATGTGACCCATGTGCAGAGCCGTCTGGAAGTGTCAGGGAATTCATGACCCTGGGAGCAGGTAATGTGCAAGGGGGTTGGTAGATAAGTACTCTGTGGTCTTCATCACTCTGGTATAAACACGGACTACTAGAATCCCCAAACAGAAGTGAGCCCCAGTTGTCCAACCTACTCATTGGTTTGCGTCCTCCTTTGTCTCACATTCCTACTCCTCTACTGCTGCCTGAGGGCTCACTACTCAAATAAATTGCACTTATATCTTTGTCTCAGGGTTATTGTGTTCACTTGTTTAATCTTCCAAACCTGTCACTTTTTATTTTTTCAATTGAAGTCTAAACCATTTATCTATATTTGATTGTTCTTTTATTCAATAAGCAACTAATGACACCTGCCATGTACAAGGAATTCTTATGGACACTACGATATTCTTTTAAATAATCTGTTTTCAAACAAAATTCCTATCTATAATAAAAATTTATGAAATAATTGTTTAAAGCTAATTTCAATTGACTAATTCTTGCTTGTTTTTAGACCAGAGAGACACGGAAGCTCTGAGCTCAAAGTACCTTTCATATCAAAACCTCCCATTCTTTGTAAACATGAACACATTATGTCACCTAATACCTATGTGATTAATAATACCTAGGATTCATAAGCTGTGTGTTCTCGGTTCTATCATTCTTAGGAAACCAGAAATACTGAAAAATGTTGGTGCTTTATACACAGGAGAATTTAAAATCCCAGTGACAAAATTAGGACCATATGATCAACCTTTACAGAAACTATTGAGGCCACAACATATTGCACAAACAAAACTCTCACAGGACAGCTCCTAAAAGATACACTTCTAATTTCTCAGCATCCTCCAGCGCCAAGTAGAGTCACAGAGGTATTTTTCCAACAGTTTAAAACACTACCTGCTCACTATTCATCAAGACATGTATTTTGTTATTTTCCTTGGAAGGGAAAACTCAGAAGGATCTTGGAATTATTTCCTCCTCTGGCCCAAGTGATACTGTCATAATTATGCTTATATCATTAATATTTTCATGGGGTATCTATTTGCAGAGAGATTTCAAAGGTATAACTTCATGTAAATCAGTTAGATAGATCCAGAGGTATTATTATTGTTCTTTTCACTTTGGGGGTAAGGAAGCTGGTACTCCTAGAGGTTAAGTGACTTGACTGATATGATGCGGAATCAGTAACAGCCCCCTGATGTCCATCTCTACATCCCAGTTCCATTCGTCCTCATTAACATGGATGGACTGGATACCACCTCTGACTCTAGGGAAAATGTTTGTCCATTGTTGATTCTGTGTTATCAGAGAAGCCTAGTATTGCTTGAAAAGAATAAACATTTTCAAAGGAAAGTGCATATCCTTAGGACCGCTAAGGCAGTGCTTATTTCATTTCTTTGTGTTGAATCAAATTAAATTCTTGGATGAAAGAATGTATCAAAATAATCATTATGTGGAAAATTTTAAAAGCATAAATCCTGTGCAAATGATTGGGTCTTAATGGAGCAAGTGAAATCATTGGTTTTCTTTGCTAAAGCTAACATCTGGTAAATTTATAGCTCATTGTACTGTAGTTTAATGGCAATAACAAAAACACTGTCATCACATCAGTGGTAGACCAACATAAGGAGTAAATGTTATTATCCAGAAAATAATTCACTAAGAAAATGTATTTCTAACTGATTAGCAAAGCTGGAACATGAGGACCCTACATAATGAGGCAACTTTGTTTCTTAGCAACAGGAGAATAAAACAGATTGAAATATGATGGGTTTGACAATGACAATGAATGGAGGGAAATCAGTGTAACTTGAAAAAATCAGCAAGAGGGATGTGGATAGGTATAGGGGAAAGCTGCAGAATACTTTTAGTTTTAAAAGATTTTGAGCATAAATCCAGCACAGAGAGGAGCATGATATTTGAAGCAAAACAAAAATCTGAACGAAGAAAATTTGTTTTGTAGGAGAAAATGCTTCACTATCTTTCATTGTATTAGGAACTATTATAATCTAATAACCAACGTGTTAAGGAATGAGAGTAAAGAAATGAATCACACTTAAATGCTTTTAAAATGCTATACAGGTGAACTAACAGTAAAATGAAATACATTTTACAGATTAACTAGAATATTAACATGCTAAGAGGGAATTTTCACTAAGCATTATGTGATATATCAAATTTTTTAATGTATTTCTTTAAAATCATTTGAACATTCAATGGGATATGGAAATTTTAACATACAACCTAAAAATTTAATTCGATTTAATGAATACTGTTGATTAATAATAATAATTTACTGGGTACTTACTACGAACCAAGTTCTTTCTAATCAACTTACATACATTATTTTATTTGATCTTTACAACGTCAGTAAAAAAATGGCACTTATTTTCCTCATTTCACAAAGGAAATCAGAAACCTAGAGAACTTTTTTTGTGGTAGGCAGAATTCTAACATGACCCCTAAGAACACTACTCTGTTATGTGCCTACTTCCTGCCACTCATGGTGTGCGTAATTCCTCTCCCTTTAAATATAGGCAGAATATGTGAATATGAATGGTAAGTCACTTCTGTGATGAGGTTACCAACTGGTTGATTTTGAATTAATCAAAAAGAAGATTATCTGGGTTGACTTGAGGTGACTCCTTAAAAGTGTCTTACCACATCTTGAAGGTAGAAAGACTGGAAGTATGAGAGAGCCTATGGAGGAGGCCATGTCACAAAGCCCTGCGATCTGCCTCTAGCAAATTGGAGCAGTCTCTGATGGCAGCTAGCAAGACAACAGGGACCTCAGTCACAAGGTTGCAAGGAAGTGAATTCTACCCATAAACAGTAAGCCTGGAAGAGGACCTGGAGCTTCAGCTAGGAATTGTAGCCCTAGAAGGCACTTTGATTTCACCCTGGTGAGACCTTAAGAAGAGGACTCAGGTAACCAGTATCCAGAAAAATGACATCGAGAAATTGTGAGATGATAAATGAGTGCTGTTTTAACCTGCTAAATCTGTCGTAATCTGTTATGCAACAATAGAAGAATAATACAGTGCATCAAGTACTATTGCCAGTGAGTGAGATGAAAACACAGGGCAGTCTGGTTCTGATGGCCTTGCTTGCAAACATTTTCATATCAATTTCCACATAAACTAGGCTTTTTTGTCTGTAATCTATAGAAACTGACTTATGGCTAACTGAAATAAAAGTAAAAGTACAAAGACTTCATTTCATACGAAATACTGAATATCTCACAGAATAAAAAAGGAAAAGTTAAAACACCAGCCTCAGGAAGAACAAGACAGAAAGGAGCCTCCAAAATCTCAACTGAAAGTCAGGCTTTTTAGGTAGCTGCTATTGGAAAATGGCTGTTTCCACTGCTTCAGTCCTGAAGCTCAAGGTTCACATTCCCTGGAAAGAAAGCCTGACTGACTGCCCCACCTAGGTCACAGGCCCACACTTGTGGTCAGAGGCGCTGGAAGTGTGATTGACAAGACTTCTAGAATCACAAGGAGTAGGAGAAAAGGAAGCAATGGTGGATTGCTTTTCATTTCTATTTTGTAAGAGTTGAGGGGTGTACTAGGGTTCCCCAGAGAAACAGAACCAATAGGATGTATATCTAGAAAGAAATTTCTTTTAAGGAATCAGCTCAAGGATTGAGGAGGGGACTGGCAAATGCAGAATCTCTAGAGGAGGTTGGCATACCGGAAATTCTGCCGAGACTTCATGCAGTCTTGAGTCCAAAGGCAGTCCAGAAGGCAAAATTCCTTCCTCTTTGAGGATTCTTTGTCTTTTCTCTTAAGGTGTTGAATTAATTTGATGAGGCCCACACACATTATGGAGGGTCATCTGCTTTACTCAGAGTCTACTGATTTAAACGTAAATCACATCCAAAAAATAGCTTCATAGGAACATCTAGACTGGTGTTTGACCAAACAGCTGGGAACAGTAGTCTAGCCAAGTTGACACATAAAATTAACCATCACAGGGGTCTTGTAAAAGTTGGAGAAGGGGGGTCCAGTGCTTCCACATGGGCTTTTCTATATAACAGCCCTTTATTCTGGGCCAGGAAACCAATGAAACAATTCTGAAAGTTAGTGATGGTTTCTTTCTATAATGAATGTCACAATGTTATGAACATTTGCCTTGAAAATTGTATAAACACAATAAATACTTAGCTTTAGCAAATTTACATTGATAGGAAAAATAAACTAATTGAATTTTCAAACTGGATATGGAAAAATGTCATAATCATGATGAAACATTTACCTGAAAATTCCTTTCACCACATACCCATTTTACTACTAATATTGAGTAAGCATCATCCATGAAGAAGCATTGTAGTAGATTAACTGCATTTGTTAAAAATATTCTTGGGAACTAACTTTCATATGATTTCAGAATTATAGTGAAAAATTGAAACATGCTGTCTTTGAGAAAAGAATTATATTTGAATTCTTATGGATTTTAAATTTGTTCATCCATTCATTCATTTCTTTAACAAACACTTGTTGAGTAATTCAACATAATTTTATGAAGAAATTATGAAGTTGGGCTTGAGATCCCCATAATCTCTCTATATGATAACTTTCTTCTCTTCTAGAAAGCAGAGGTAGTATTAACCATGACTCTCTAACTCTTGAATAAAGAATTTCATAATCTTCTTCACTTGCTCAGATTTAGGCTGTATATATATTTTGTTTTTTTCTTGTGTGAGGAAGATTGGCCCTGAGTTAACATCTTTTGCCACTCTTCCTCTTTTTGCTTGAGGCATATTGTTGCTGAGCTAACATCTGTGCCAATCTTCCTCTATGTTATGTGGGATGCCATCACAGTGTGGCTTGATGATCAGTGCTAGGTCCGCGCCCGGCATCCAAACCTGCAGGGCGTGAGCCATGCAAGCAGAGCACGTGAATTTAACGACTACCCCGCTGGGTCAGCCCCAAAGCTGTATATTTTTTAATGAGGAGATCCAAGTAGTGACTGATTATTCCTTGCCAAAAGTCACTTTTGAGAATTATACTTGCATAGCTATTTACATTGGTACTTCTAT